CTATGTGTCTGTCAAACAGGAGATGGACTAAGTTGCACTTTATGCATATCATTCAAACCTGTATCTAAGATAATTATATGAGGCACTTAAAAGATTAAAAAGCTGTACTATTTGTAATTATGTCAGGTTAACTGGAGTGAATTAGGACTGTCCCTGGGAAACCAAGACATAAAGTCATCCTATTTATAGCAGTCAAAGTCAGCATGAAATAGATCTCAAAAACAATATTAAAATGAAAAGTCAGTTGCTGAATATGTACTGTATGCTCTTCAACATGTTTAGAAGTGTTTTTAGTATACATAAAAACATCAGATATTGCCATTTATTTTTAAAATAGTCTAGGTGTAAAAACAAATAGATCCACGGAACAGAATAGTTATGAAATATACCACACATAAATGGACAACTGGGATTTTCAACATTAAGTGCAGATAATTCAACAGAAAAAGGATACTCTGGTCAACAAATGGTGGAACAATTACACATCCATATATAGGGAAGAAAATGAACCTCACTTCATATATCACATATTAAAATTTAACTCAATGCGGTGCCTGGGTGGCTCAGTTGACTGTCTGACTTCAGCTCAGGTCATAATCTCAGGGTCCTGGGATTGAGCCCCAAGAGTCTGGGAGTCAGGCTCTCTGCTCAGCAGGGAGTCTGCTTGTCCCTCTGTCCTTCCCCCTTGCCTATGCACTCGCTTGTATCACCATCACTGTTCAATCTATTTTCTAAACTATTCACATTTACCACCTGTCACTTCCCTTCAAAATTCTTTGTGGTAGCTCCTTGGAGAAACAGTTGACTCTAGGGCTGGGAAAGGCAAAATACAAGGTGAGTCTTAAATGCCCGATAAAGAAAATGCTTAAAAAGAAAAAAAAACAAAAACGGGGGACCATTAAAAGGACACAAGGGCCAAAAATGGAACTGTGTGAGCAATAAAATAAGTAAAAAAGCAAAGTAAGTTAGATAACACTGGATTACAACCCAAAGAATAAAAATTCCATGCCTCCATATATAGATGAGCCAGTACTGAGCAAGCTCAGAGAATCCACATAGGCTATACTCGAGGCACAGCCTAAAAAAGCCTGAAAAGTAGTCACACTCATATACCTTCCAAATTCTGAATCTTTCGAACTTTTTTGAATAAGGAAATAGCTAGCAAATAATGGTCTACAGTCCCCTAGTAGATACACAAACTTTACAAAATAATTTAGACAACTATTTGGGTTTCAGAGCTTCATTTCTCTTTATAAACAAAAACACTAGAACATAAAAGATCTATACAAATACACAATGATGCCGTTACATAGCCACTTAAATTAACAGCCACCAAGGATGACATCCCTACAAAGTAGAAGTCTGTCCCATCTAGGAAGCCCCTTTCTCTGAACCATCTCTAACATTTACTTTAAAGATTTTATTTGACAGAGAGAGAGAGAGAGACAGCGAGAGAGAGGGAACACAGCAGGGGGAGTGGGAGAGGGAGAAGCAGGCTTCCCGCTGAGCAGGGAGCCTGATGCGGGGCTCGATCCCAGGACCCTGGGATCATGACCTGAGCCGAAGGCAGACGCTTAACAACTGAGCCACCCAGGCGCCCCTAAAATTTACTTTAATAATTATTAAATACCTGGGGCACCTGGGTGGCTCAGTTAAGCGGCTGACTCTCCGGTTTGGGCTCAGGTCCTGATCTCAGGATTGTGAGATCAAGCCTAAATGGGGCTCCACTCACTGTGGAGTCTCCTTGCGACTCTCTCCTCTGCCCCTCCCCCCACCTCACTCGCACTCTCTAAAACAAATAAATCTCTAAAAAATAATTATTAAATAACTGAAACACAGCAAGCTGAACAGCTAACAATATTACATGATTGACTGCCAGAGGACAAAAGCAGAAATCTATCAAAGTCATCTAAAGACATTTATTAAGGCCACAACCTGTGAAATTTTTTGATTTTCTGTTTTATAAAGCCCCCTCTTCATGTGCAGATTATTCCTAGCTCTTTACCATTATCACCTGGCTTGCAATTCAGCTTTCCCCACCAAGGACAAACAGGGTGTCCAAAAATGCTTAAATAAAAAAAGGAAAAAGCTGATTTTTGAGATTTAAAAACATATAAACCTAATTAACACCAGTGTGATCACCAACTACAAGTGAGATTACAACTGCTGAGTCTAAATTTAACTCCACTGCTGGAAGGACAGTGTTGCAACTAAAGGTTTTTCCCACTAGCTGTTAACTTGAGGGGGGGGGTCAGTGCACACTTTTTCAACCCACCTACTCCAACAATTCTCTCCCTTTGCAAATGAACATATAATGCATATCTGAATTCTAAAATATCATTTAAAAAAATCTAATTACAAAATGTTGAAAGATCAAAGAGGTAATTGTATTAAACTGCAAAAAAAAACTGGTTTGTCACAAATTCAGGCTTTATATTAAATTTCATCCTTTAACATTGCCCCATCCATTCTAAGAACCATACACAATTCACAAACCTATAAAAACTTTAACCTTTACCTTTTACTTTCAAGGCAAAGTACTAAAATAGTGAAAATTACAAGAAAAAAGAACTACTGCGAAATAGGTCAGCAAGAAACATTACCAACTCTTCTGATGCACCCTTAGCAGACTGTCAGTTGAGAACAGCAAAGAACAAAGAACTGCCTACTTTTCTACCCGTTAGAAGTACAAAAACTTAGAAAGGATTTAACAATAACAAAAGTAATCTGACTTGGCTGGGCAGAAGAAAGGCACACCAGTCTTACATTATTACAATCTGCTTCATTTGTTCTTAATAAATGCATGCACAAGAGATACGCCAGGCTACCAATTGTAAAATACCAGTTTTCATATTCCTACCCAACGGATAACCATTCGCCTGAGGGAAAGAACAGGCTAAGAAATATTTGAAAGGGAATCAAAATCCTCAATGCACAAGAAAATTTCATTCTGATACATTTTACTCCGGGGAATAACACCATTAGGTGGAATGCCAAGTTTAAATGTTGTCACTATGTTTTAAAATTTTAAACCTAAAATGCGAATTCAGTAAGGTAACGCCATCTAAATAAACTAGAATTGCTATATGAAGGCACGTTCTAAGTAAAACAGTGTTATATTCTAAAGCAATCAGTTATTTATGGCAACACCAACTGAAGAACTTGGGCCATACAATATTTTGATCCTTTATCTATTGCTACTTTGTTAAGAAACATGGCAAGTACTGGGTAAATGGAAACACAAATATTAAGCTTCCTTGTAGTTTTTTAATTTACTTGCAAGGATGGAAATTTTGTATTCCCTCTGACTGCAATAACTTCTTAAAAGACTAAAGGCTGTAATAGAAGGTTGAAAGCCATTCCAAGCAAAATTCAGAAGAGCTAGTGCCAAAACTTACTAGTTTTATCTCAAATAGAGACATTTGTGATGTCAAGTAATGGTCTGGACCTGCAACGATTTTCTAAAGCAAGGGAGCATACTGGCTTTTAAAAATCGCAAATATATGCTCGTCTTCGAAGGTATCTTCCACATACATAGGAGCCTAACAGTAAACGCGAAATAAGTGAACTGAATGTAGAGAGGCTTTCATCCACAGAAGATCCCGACTGCCCTAAGGGCAAGATTTCCAACACACCTCAATCACCCGTAATTCACCTAGCATAAGCTCCAGAGGTTAAATTTATATTGTAACTGGGCACCATCCTTTCCATTCTCACTTCACATTTCAACTCACACATGCAGGAGAAATCTGAAACTCATCGCTCTGACCCGCATTTTTCTCCAACTACAAAACGAGGAAGTGAAACTATCTTCCCGAAGGTCTTTCTCAAAAGTCTGCCCCGGTAAAGAAAAGACGAAAAAAGGTTTCAGGGTCTAAGAGCTGAGCCTAACTCGCGGCTGCCAGGAATTTCCCACCATCGCGCTCTTGAGTATTAAATCGGAGGAGGAACACCGTCCACATTCGTTTGCACTTATTCGCCTTTTCTCTACTTTTCCGAAAGCTCTGAAGGCGGCACATCCATCAGCTTTCCGTGCGAACACTCGTAGAAAGGAAGCCCAAAGCCCTTGGTGTCCTTTGTCACAATCCCACTTCCAAGCCGCGTCTCCCTGGAAGCCGACAAGTGGCTCAAGCACAAATACCGCCGCACTCCGCCCAGCAGCTGGCCTCTCCGGGCTGAGGCCGCAGGGCGCTGGCACAAGGACGGAAACAGGCTGGGGGCCTAGCAGTCACACGGCCTGGGTTCCACCCGATACCTGTCCCTTACCGTCGGCGTGCCTGTGACCACATCTCTGCACCTCTGGGCGTCCGAATCCACTGCAAAAAGGAAAATCGCCGTACCTACCTCACCGGACCGTTGTGGGAGTACCGGAGAGCCACACAAGTCGCTCAGCACAGTGCCTGGCACACAGCGAGGGCTCAGAAAAAACAGTAATTATTACTTCCACTCATTACCCGTGCCTTCGCTGCTCCCCCTTTACTCCCTGTAAATCCCGGGAGCAGCACTTCTGCTTCCCGAGCCAAAACCTCCTCGGGTTTTCGTGTCGCCCCCGCCGCTAAATAAAAGCCTCCTCCGGTCCGGGCCACGCTGGAGCCTCTCGCCCGGGCAGAAAAGGCTCTGCGGGCGCGCGGGGGGCGGGGAGGGAGACGGGCGGGAAAGGCCGGCGAGCGGGCCGCGCGGGGCCCCGGGTTCCCGAGATCGCCCTGGGGCCCGGGCGGCGGCCGCGGCTCGCTCTCCCCCCGCGCGGCCGTTGGGCGTGGCACGCGCACGCGGCGGACGCGGACACGGCCACGCGCGCCGGCCGGTGGGAGCGCGGCGAGAGGGGGCGGGGAAACTCCACGCGCCCGTGCGCCCGCCTGCGGCCGTTGGGGGGGGGGGGGGGTAGGGTGCACGCCTCGCGCGGTGGCCACTGCCGCCGCCGCTGCGACTTCTCTGTCTCACAAGCGTCCCAGCTCGTCTTCGTCCCTGGGCCGCCCCGCCCCGCCCACAGCCCGGCGTACCTGCGCGGCTGAGCGGGAGAGGAACAAGCTTTGCTCCACAGTACGGCAGAAGGCAAAACCACCTCACGCAACTGCGTCCGCACACACGCGTGCTCCGTCGCCGGTCTATATAACCGCGACTCAGCCTAACGTGTTGCGGCCAGGTCGAGCAGGCTGGTGACCAATCCCGACTGCGTCCTCTGGGCTCTTCGAGCAGCAATTGGGTACTGACTCAGGATGAAGGCGTGGCTCTTGATTGGCTTTGACTCATGCCTATGAGACTGTGAGGATCTCGTTTCCCTAGTAACGGATTGGCACTGAGATAGACCAATGACTTAAAGGTACGTCGGAAAAGAAGGTGGGAACTTCTTTGACCGATACCCATAGCAGCCAATAAATGCGTGGGGCCGCTCCCATTCGTTAAAATGGGTTCCCTTGGGCGGAGATCCTTTTTCCATACAGGAGCGGTTGCTCCACAAGGTGGGGCCCGTGTACTTTGGGGAAGTAAACCCCAAGCAACTAGGGGGTGGGCGCCAGGGAGGCCAAGGGAGCCCCTGGCCAATCGCAAAGCGGGAAAGATCTGATTGACGCGGGGGTTGGACTGCGCCAAGGAGACCGAGCCCCAGGGCCGCCGTGCCCTCTGGGGAGGTTCAGAGGCTCTTCTGTCCCTGGCTTCCGTCCTCTTTACTTTTTTTCCCTCACTTGTTGGGTCTAGCCCCTGAGGCCCCTCTCCCGCCTTTTCTGCACTGTTTAATACCAGGGAAACCAACTGGGAAAGTTCCCGTTGTTTAGTTTTTTTTTTTTTTCTTCTTCTTATAGCAACTTTTTTATTTCCAGGCGGCCGCCTAAGGGCACTTGCTGGCTCTCACCATTAGCACTATTGTCGGACAACAGTTTAAGAGAAAGCGAGAGGGGAAAGTAGCGCCCGTCGTGTACCTAAGATCGTGTAAAAAGGCCGCACTGAAAAGTGCTGTTGAGTTTGAGAACAGAGATTTCTACCCTGCTGTTCGTGGCAAGTGCTGCAGCGGGCTGGCCGGATGGCCGGCTGGTGGGAGCTCGCAGAGGTCTTCCCCTTCTGTTGCTGCCAAGGAACCGTAGTCTGTAAAGTCTCCACTCTGGTTGGTCCTTAATGCAACATCCTGTGCGTCACCACCATTGCCATTTAGTGTTCCGATAGCTGGGGGTGTGGGCGCTGCTTTCGTGTCGTTATGTCTTTTTTTTTTTTTTAATTTTTATTTATTTGACATAGAAACAGCGAGAGAGGGAACAAAAGCAGGGGGAGTGGGAGAGGGAGAAGCAGGCTTCCCGCGGAGCAGGGAGCCGGATGCGGGGCTCGATTCCAGGACCCCGAGATCATGACCCAAGCCGAAGGCAGACGCTTAACAACTCAGCCACGCAGGCGCCCCGCGTCGTTACGTCTTTAAAAGGTAGTTTGTCACACTCCTACACGGACACCCCAGAGGTTTCCCGAAGCACTTCAGAGGCTAAGTGGCGCACCAGCCCGGTCCTGTCCACGTCTCTAGGTGTTTTATTGGGCCCTCTGTTGGTCACCATGAGCATTTTGTAAGGAAATACACAGATGCCTCGGTCGGTTCTCATTCCAGGCATGTGATCTCCCGTTAAGTTTTGCAGAGAATTTGGGAATGAAGCACCTGGAGCGTCTCTATTGGGGGAGAAGGGGCGCCGGCAGCAGCCTGTTGGGACCCGGGCGCGTCCCTTCTCATTCCCTGCGTGGGGACCGGCCCGAGACGAGACTCGCGGCCGCCCCCAGGAGCCTGGTGAGAGCGTGCTTCTGGCCCCCCAGGTCCCACTGCCCCATCGGCCCAGCTCATTCAACATTTATGAAACTCCTCTTAAGGGCTGGGATCAGAGATGATCTGGATGCCGGGAGCCCCGCAAAGGCAGGCGTCTGGGACTAAGCGTCTGGGGCTAAAAAGGCATCGGATGGAACTCAACCCAGAGGAGAGAATCCACTAAAGTTTTCTAGAGTAAGGACACCCACACCCACACCCACACCCACCCCCAGGATCGGGTCGGCTTTGCTAAGGCATTTGGAGTTTATTCTGACGGCAGAGAAGAGCCCCTGGAAGGGTTCTTAAAGGCTGGACTCAGAGATTTCCTTTAACAAGACGACTTTCGAAATTGAAATGCTAATGAGAGCAGACTTGCAAAACTTTAAAATTTACAGATTGGTAATTTAACCCAAATGGCTTATGATGAGAGTCAGGGCTATTCTTAATCACATTTGGAGCGAATTTTAAGTGATAACTGCTCTTTTTGTGAGGCTATTTGGCAATCACTATTAATATTGTGTATATCACCCAAATCAATAATAGTACCTCGGTATATGGCCACACCTTTTTTTTTTTTTAACAAAGAAGTGTATACCGTCACTTGCAACTGCAGCATTGTCAGCTTTGTTAGAATACTTAAAAAGTGGGGCACCTGGGTGGCTCAGATGGTTAAGCGTCTGCCCTCGGCCCGGGTCCTGATCTCCAGGTCCTGGGATGGAGCCCCATGGCCAGCTCCCAGCTCAGTGGGGAGTTTGCTTCTCCTTTCTCCCTCTACCTCTCCCCCTGCTTGTGCTCTGTTTCTCTCTCAAATGAATAAATAAAATCTTTATTAAAAAAATACTTAAAAACTGAAAATGTAATTGCTCATCAATTGGCAAACTGATTAACCAGTGATGTGCATATAATATGGAATACCATGCAGCAGTTTAAAAAAGAATGAGGTAGGGGCGTCTGGGTGGCTCAGTCATTAAGCATCTGGCTTCGGCTCAGGTGGTGATCCCAGAGTCCTGGGATCCACGGGAAGCCTGCTTCTCCCTCTTCCATTCCCCCTGCTTGTGTTCCCTCTCTCGCTGTGTCTCTGTCAAATAAATAAATGAAATCTTCTAAAAAAAATTAAAAATAAAGAATGAGGTAGAATTATACAGATATGGACGGGTTTCCGTTTGTTATTTGGATTAATTGAAAAATATCAAGTTCAACAAAATATACAGTGAATTCCCATTTAGGTTAAAAAAGCAAGAAACTCCTGATTTCTGTATGTTAAAATCAATATGTAAGTGCATAGGAAGAGTTCTAAATTTAAAACAATAGTTATTCCTCCAAGAGAATCCCCTAGGTTGGGAGTGATTAGGATAATGTATTATTTGAAGTTGTACAATGAGACTGTGTTCATGTACCGTGTTGCATAACGGGAGGTAGAAAGAAAGGAAGGGGTATTAGATTACCAGAGAGGGAACGTGGACAAGAACCCTCACGTGGCCACTGCTGTCTTCCATGGGAAGGGCAAGTTGACATTCTGTGGTAGCTTCCCCACTCAGATCATAAAACCCTCAGGCCCCAGGTGCTAGATACGTAGTATATGTTCAGTGAGTAATTTATCACCAATGAATCGTCTGGAGCACTGTTTCTAAGGCAGGGGAGTCAGGGGAGATTTTCCCCCCAGGAGACTTATGGCTTCAGTCACAACTGGGTAGAGGGACTACAGGCATCTAGTGGGCAGAGGCCAGGGAGGCACAGGGGCACAGGAGAGATACCCTCCACCCTCCCCCACCCCTGCCATGCAAAGGATTTTCCAGGCAAAAAGTCAGCAGTGCCAAAGCTGAGAGACCCTGATCTGGCTTCCTGGGTCATGTAGGAGAGAGTCCCTAGCCTCCTGCTGGTCTTTCTCTCCACCGACAAGCAAAGTCTGCAAACCTCTCCTGTACACTACTTCACCCCCTTCTCTTTCTGCCAATTCTTCCCAAAGCTATGAGAATCAGGGTTGGAAGAAACATGGCCAAGACCCCAGAAAACACAGTTTAGTGGTGGGGGCAGGGGTTGGGGGGTGGGGAATATTAGGTAAGGAATAATCCTAAGAATATTAACTTGATCAGTGTTTTCCAAACATAGCTAATCATTTATGCAGGATGCTTAAAAATACTTGCCTGTATATGTCTTTAACCATTAAACTCTCACCTGTGAACAAAGATCTAGTGTAATAACATTCATGACAGCACTGCTTGTACTAGAAAGACACAGGAAACGACCCACATATGGAGCTATATGGAACTACTCTTACAGGGGACTGTCATACAACCATAGAGAAAATGAGGCAGATCTATGTGTACAGTTACAGAGCAATCTGCAAAGTGCAGAATCATGGAAAGAGTAAAAAAGGGGGAGCGATGCCATGGGGCAATTATTTCTATTAAGATATACTGTATTGCTCTAGTTATCTCTGCACATTCCTGGATGGTTTTGCTGTGCATGCCCAGGTCATGCCCAGAAGGAGTCAAACTGTTAATGATTGCTAACAAGGAGGTGAACTTGGGCCAGGGTAGGAGAACAGCTTAGTTTTCATTCATCCAAAGTACGTTTTGATACTGATAATTTTTTTTAACATGTGCATTTATTATTTTTCAAAAGAAATTCAATGTTAAGTGTAGATGTTAAGGGTAGGAACTACAAATATGGGGCGCCTGGGTGGCTCAGTCCTTAAGCATCTGCCTTCAGCTCAGGTCATGATCCCAGGGTCCTGGGATCGAGCCCCGCATCGGGCTCCCGCTCAGTGGAGAGCCTGCTTCTCCCTCTCCCACTCCCCCTGCTTGTGTTCCCTCTCGCTCTCGCTCTCTCTCTCTCTCTCTCTCTCTCGCTGTGTCTCTCTCTGTCAAATAAATAAAATCTTTTTAAAAAAGGAACTACAAACATGGAAACTTTGATCTTTAAAAAACAAACAGGATAGAGATTAAGAGTACACTTACCTTAATGAGCACTGAGTAATATATAGATTTGCTGAATCACTATATTGTACACCTGAAACTAATATAACACCGTTGTTAACTACTGCGGAATTAAAATAGGTGCACCTGGCTGGCTCAGTAGGTAGAACCTGTGACTCTAGATCTCAGGGTTGTGAGTTAGAGCCCCATGTTGAGTGTAAAGACTACTTAAAAATAAAATCTTTAATAAAAATAAAGTAGAATTAAAAAAAATTATCCCTTTAGGTATATGAGGGATTTTGAAAATGAAGCATCAAAGTTTTGGGGTTTTTTTTAAAGATTTTATTTACTTATTTGACAGAGAGAGACACAGTGAGAGAGGGATCACAAGCAGGGGGAGTGGGAGAGGGAGAAGCAGGCTTCCCGGGGAGCAGGGCACCTGATGTGGGGCTCAATCCCAGGACCCTGGGACCATGACCGGAGCGGAAGGTAGACACCCAACGACTGAGCCACCCAGGCGTCCCGAAGCATCAAAGTTTTAATCAGCCTGCCTACCAGACTACTAACATCTTTTCCTTTTGCTCCTTACCATACAAAAATCTAAAGAGACCCTTTACTGGCATAGAAACACGTGCCTAATTGGATTTCTTCTTTTTGGCATTGACTGTCTGCCAACATCACCTTCCTGAAACTCTATGGAATACTGGCCATGAGCCAGGCAACCTTGTGAATATTCTCTATAAAGATGATCTCATTTAATGTTGACAACAACCATATTTCTCATTCTCAGAAACAGGCTCAGAGAGGGTAAGCAACTAGCCCAAGGTCACACAGCTGGGGCTGGAAACTAGGACTCTCTGACTTCAAGCCCATGTTCATTTACCTATTTGTCAATACTGACCAGGGAAGAAGAATATAGCCCCAAGTGAAAAAAGGGGTTTGGCCTCCTCAGAAATGCCTGAAAGCCTGGAATATACTTTCATGTCCTCAAGCATACCATCAGGTAATGCTACAGAGACAGCTTTCCAGGTGATTTGAGAATTCTGGGATCCATAGCAAATCCTAGTAATCTGCAGGATTTAAAAAATTTTAAAACACATATTACAATAGTACCCATATATAACATAAATCCCCAGAGCATGTAGTTTATTAAAAAGAGCATCTTACAAATTATGTACAGTATGTCATGCATGCTTTAAAAAATACCAAAAACAATATATGCATATGTGTTTATCAGTGTTTGTGAAACCACAGAACAAGGTCTCAAAAGAATGTACAGCAATTGGGGCACCTGGGTGGCTCAGTTGGTTGAGCGTTTGCCCTCGGTTCAGGTCATGATCCCAGGGTCCTGGGATTGAGCCCCAAGTTGAGCTCTCTGCTCAGCGGGGAATCTGCTTCTCCCTCTCCCTCTGCCTGTCTTCCTGGCTTGTGCTCACTCTCTCTCTCTCCCAAAAGATAAAATCTTTAAAAAAAATAAAAATAAAATTTAAAAAGTCTGTACAGCAATCTGATAGTAGTTACTTCCTCTGTGGAAGACATGGATAATGAGAGTTTGAAGGAAACTTTCACTTTATCTGGATTGTTTAAAAATTTTTACATTAAACTTTCCATGTAGGGGTGCCTGGGTGGCTCAGTTGGTTAAGCATCTGCCTTCAGCTCAGGTCATGATCCCGGGGTCCTGGGATGGAGCCCCGCATCAGGCTCCCTGCTCAGCGGGGAGCCTGCTTTTCCCTCTGCCTCTGCCTCTCCCCCTGCTCATGCTCCCTCCCTCTCTCCCTCTCAAATAAATAAATAAATAAATAAATAAATCTTTAAAAAAAAAAAACTTTCCACGTATTATATAATTTAAAAAGTAACTGGGGGGCCACCTGGGTGGCTCAGTCAGTTAAGCATTAGACTCTTGATCTCGGCTCAGGTCATGATTCTCAGGATTGTGAGATCGAGCCCCGTATTGGGCTCCTTGCTCAGTGCAGCATCTGCTTGAGATTCTCTCTCTCCCTCTCTCTAATAAAATCTTAAAAAAAAAAAAAAAAAGTAACCTGGCATAACCCTAAGAGTGGCTTGTGAGTACTTATTATATACCAGGCCCTGAACTGAACATTTTATGAAAATTGTCTTATTTCCCACAATAATGCTAATTATTGAGATAGGTCTAATTATTATCTTTATCTTACAGGGAAAGAAACTGAGGTTCGGAGAGGTTTATTGCCTAAAACAGCCAGGAATTGAACACAGGTTTGTCTAGTATCTCTCATTAAACACAGCTTTAAGTCCCTGATGCCTGGAGAAGTCTGACAGAGAATAAAGGAGCCAGAGGACAGCATGACACATGTCCTCTGATCTTTGGCTGCAGTGTTGGGAGCACCCCAAGGAGTCCTGGGTACTGTGGTGGCCCAAAGAGCTCATGCCTTATCTGAAGAGTCCTGGGTAGTCATTTGTGTATATATACATATATATATTTTTTTAATCGAAGTATAATTGACAGGCAATATTATATTGATTTCAGGTGTACCACATGGGGCTTCAACAATTCTATACATTAATCAATACTCACCATGAAAAATGTTCTCACCATCTGTCACCATATAACATGATTACAGTATTATTGACTGTATTCCCTATGCTGTTCTTTTCATTTTGATGACGTATTGTATTGTTTTCTGACATAGCTGTTTCCCCTCCTTCTAGGTGCCTGGCAGGATTATTCTGTCCTGCGCCCTTATAGACAGGCATGACCACATGCCCTGCTTTGGCCAACACAACGTGAGCAGAAGTGACACATACCTCTTCCAGGAAGAGAAGTCTTTGGAGTTAGTGATTATTTGCTGAGGTCTTCCCTCCCCACACTAGCCCCCGTACTCAATATCATTCGCTTGGGGAATCTCCCTCAACCTGGGTCCCTGAGCAAAAATCATTTGCACAGAGCCAATCCTCCAAACCGCCCAAACTGCAATGGTCATATGACATAAACAAGAAGGAAATCTGTTGTTTTAAGCCATTGAGGTTTTGTGATGGTTTGTTGCCATAGCATTACCAGGCCTTTCTTGCCAGTTACAGATAAGTTTCTAGATTTTCCAGTGTTTTAGCAGACACTCAAAATCTGGATTAACACTGTTCTTTTTTAACATTTTATTAATGGTATAAAAGTGTTTGGTCCTCACTTTATTTATTTGGGTTTGTTTGTTTGTTTGTTTTGGAGAGAGAGAGCGTGCACACGAGTGGGGGCAGGGACAGAGGAAGAGAGAGGATCTCAGGCAGACTCCATGCCCAGCACGGAGCTTGATGTGGGGCTCGATCTCACCGCCCTGAGATCATGACCTGAGCTGAAACCCAGAATGGGTCTTTCAACCGACTGAGCCACCCAGACGCCCTTTGGCTCTTACCTTTAAATATTTTATAATGAAAATATTCTTTCTATGAGGACTATAGTTGGGGCGCCTGGGTGGCTCAGTCGGTTAAGCATCTGCCTTCGGCTCAGGTCATGATCCCCGGGGTCCTGGGATCGAGCCCCACACCGGGCTCCCTGCTCAGCCAAGAACCTGCTTCTCCCTCTCCCTCTGCTGCCCCCCCTGCTCGTGTGCTGTCAAATAAATAAAATCTTAAAAAAAAAAAAAGAACAAGAGGACTATAGTTGGATTTATTCTTTTTTTAAACTATTTGGAATTTTTATTATTCATAAAAATACTTTTCTTTAAAAAATGCTTTGCTTGGTCTTAAAGGAACAACTACATTTACATGTCAGTCTACAAATAGATTTTAAATTGGAGTAAAATATACAGAACGTAAAATTTACCATTTTAACCATTTTTAAGTGTACAATTCTGTGGCATTAAAAGTACATTCACGCTGTTGTGCAACCAAACTCCGTGTTTGTAAATGTTGTCAACTAATCAAAAAATATTTTGAGCGCACTAGGAACTAAATAAAATATGCTTGCAGACCAGCTTCACCCAAGCCGCATCTCCGTCTGGTGCCAGGCTGCCTGGGCGAGGCCTGCACCCCAAGCCCTTGTGCTTTGCAGCCCCCCTCTTCCCTTGCATGGGCTTCTCTGAAGGCCCTTTCAGCTCAGAACCTTTGATCCCGAGCTGAGAGTTCCTTGGCAGATAAAGCAATGAGGCAGCAGCGTGCACCTGCGTTATAACACAACAAACAGCCCCTTGGCATTCTGGAGGGAGTAGACAACAGCTACAAAGGCCTTTCTTTGCAAAGCTTGACCCAGCATCTACAGAAGGGTCACTCCAGTAGGTGGGGTCCAGGGTAGGGCATACCAGGGAGAAGGCACCACCCCCTTGTCTGTGAGCCTGTCGTCTGCACATGACTACTATCCTCACACCAGCACTCTCAGCCAGAAAGGGCCCATTTCCCAAGCCCACTGGTTTAGTGATAAACTGACTTACCCAAGTTTACAAGGCTACTAAGGAGACTGCTGGGTAGTCTGGAACTCGGAATTCCGGAATTCTGTTTTTAAAAATATTTTTCTCTGCGATTCCTAATACATATTTATTATAGAAAATATGGCAAAGAGAAGTAGAAAAACAGAACTAAAAATCACCTATAATATTGGAATGGGTCCGGGTAGTACACGTAGATCTGAAGATATGAAAACATAGTTAATAAATCTTCTTTGAGAGGCAATCTGACCTATCAAAATTGAAAATGAATAGCTATTCCACAGTAGGAATTTATTCTACGTAAACTTTTAAGCAAAGATCTATGTATACGGACTGTCATTACATCATCATTATTAGCATTAAAAGATTGGAAGCCACATGTATGTCTATAAGTGGGGGACTGTATCAAGAATGTGTCAGGAGCAAGTACCAGAAAGTCTGAGTAGCAGTCGCTGAAATTAAGAGGGGCTTACATTTCTCAGCCAACCAGTCTGCAGGCAAGCTGCAGCTGAACACACAGAACCAGCATCTCTGTGATTCTCTTGGCGTTTCCCTCATGATTGTACTCTAGGCATCACGTCAGTATTCTCCACAGCAAGGGGAAAGGAGTGGTATCTGTTCCCCTGAAGAAAGCAAGAGCTTTCCAGAAACATTGTAGCAGACTTCTGCTTCTGACTCATTGGCCAGAGCCACATCATATGGGCACACTTGGCTGCAAGGGAAGATGGGAAAGCAAATATTGAGGGTTCTTAGGGATCTGGCTTCTACAGTAGCAAGAGTAAAAAGGCTGGGAATGAGCATTGGATTAGCCAACCAATGGTTTCTGCCATAGGGCCTGGTTAAATAAATTATGGTACAACTGAATAATATAGCATTAGGTATCATTAAAAAGAATGAGGGGGACATGTACAATTAAAGAATAAGCTCTACAATATTTTGTAAAACAAGGAAAGCAAGGTGCAAAATTCTGTAGAGTCGCCTTTTGTTTAAAAAGGGGTAGTCAGGGTAGGAGGGAGACTTTTCCCTGTACACCCTTTTGTGCTATCGAAATTTTTAAAATGGTGTGTACATTGGGAGCCTGTAATCCTGCATGCATTCCAGATAACTTCTATAACACTTGCTGTAGTTCATTTCGGGCTTATTTGTAAGTAAATAACTGGAATTTATGCGGATATTTACATACAGGAACTATAATCCTGCACATTTTCCTCTCTTCATTTGTCATATCTAATGAGTTTCCATAACGCTGCCTCTCATGAAGTTGTGCTCTCTCTCTGCTTCACCTCCCCTCTTCCCCAATTCTCTACCTCTCCTTTTCCTTTAATGCCCCCCACCCCATACCCCACAGTTGTGCCCAGTGCTACCAAAATGTTGAGCCTTGCCTTCACTTGACCTAAGGAAATGCCTGGCAGGTGGGAAAGAGGTGTGAAGGGTTAAGGGATGAGCATTTTGCTGGTAGGGGAGGAGCCAGGGCCAGGGAGGCCAGGAGTGATTCCAGCAATTAGAAGAATTCTAATATTTTTTGATGCCCACCCTGTGCCAAATAATGTGCTAGGGAGTTTGCATACAGTATCATATATATTCTTCCCAATAATACCACACAATAGGTGTCTTTAAGGAACCCATGTGTCCTGGTTTGCCTGTGACAGTCATGGTATTTGCCTACTGTCCTGGCATCCCCTTTCACTCTCAGAAGGCTTGGATAAAAAATTGTATAGTCACCTTAACTATCCCTGTTCTCTAAGTGAGGGTACTAAGGCTTAGAGAAAGTAATCTGCCCAAGGTTATACAGCTGGCAAATGATAGGGCTAAAATCCAAACTCTGGTCTATGTGGCTCTGTATGGTGTATATGGACTGAAATGTTGAGGCCCTCACCTCCAACGTGACTGTGTTGGGAAATGGGCCTTTGAGGAGTTGATAAAGGTTAACTGGGGTCTTAAGAGTGGGGCCCTAATCCAATAGGTTTGGTGCCCTTATAAAAGGAGGAAGAGATAACAGAGCCAGCTCCCTCTGCCATGTGAGGACATAGCAAGAATGCAGCCATCTGCAAGCCAGGAAGAAAAATCTCACCAAGAACCAAATCAGCCAGCACTTTGACCTTGACTTTCCGGCCTCCAGAACTGTGAGAACTGTGAGAAATAAATGTTGTTTAAGCCACCCAGTCTGTGATATTTTGTTATAGCAGCCTGAGCAGACTAAGACAGGTTCTCATTTCCATGCTCCTTCCGCTCACCATGCTGGAGGTGGGCCTCCTCATTCAGGGCCAGTCAGTGTGAGTCAGTGACTGGTCCTGGCCTAGATTTATCCCTTCCATTTCCTGTTCCCTGAACCTAGGCCAAGGGTGGATCCATTAGCCTCTTCTCTAAACTGAAGTAGGCAGTTTGTGGTCACTCCCTGTATCAGTGTGGGTCTAATCAGGAGAGAGAAACCACGCCATAACTTGAACAAGCAGTTTAAAGCTTATAATGAGTCTGGGATAATGAGGGATCGGCTAGTAACAAAGAGAACTCTAAAGAAAATAAAAACAGCAGATACAAGAAGGAGCCACCGCTGGTAGGGCCAAGATAGTAAGAGCATCCAAGGAAGAATCTCCCAACCCCCACGCTAGGCTGGGATCCAGGCCTCGGGGCCCACTGAATGGCAGAGAAGTCGCTATGATGCCATGCTGGTGGATCTTTTTTTTTTTTAATTTTTTATTGTTATGTTAATCCCCATACATTACATCATTAGTTTTAGATGTAGTGTTCCATGATTCATTGTTTGTGCATAACACCCAGTGCTCCATGCAGAACGTGCCCTCCTCAATACCCATCACCAGGCTAACCCATCCTCCCACCCCCCTCCCCTCTAGAACCCTGTTTGTTTTTCAGAGTCCATTGTCTCTCATGGTTCGTCTACCCCTCCGATTTCCCCCGCTTCATTCTTCCCCTCCCGCTACCTTTTTTTTTCTTAACATATATTGCATTATTTGTTTCAGAGGTACAGATCTGAGATTCAACAGTCTTGCACAATTCACAGTGCTTACCAGAGCACATACCCTCCCCAGTGTCTATCACCCAGTCACCCCATCCCTCCCACCCCACCCCCCACTCCAGCAACCCTCAGTTTGTTTCCTGAGATTAAGAATTCCTCATATCAGTGAGGTCAGATGATACATGTCTTTCTCTGTTTGACTTATTTCGCTCAGCATAATACCCTTCAGTTCCATCCACGTCATTGCAAATGGCAAGATCTCATTCCTTTTGATGGCTGCATAATATTCCATTGTATATATATACCACATCTTCTTTATCCATTCATCTGTTGATGGACATCTTGGCTCTTTCCACAGTTTGGCTATTGTGGACACTGCTGCTATAAACATCGGGTGCACGTACCCTTTCGGATCCCTACTTTTGTATCTTTGGGGTAAATACCCAGTAGTCATGCTGGATCTTCCTGGAAATCCACCCTCTGGGCTGAAAAATTTCCCTGTCGGGTGCTGGAAAAAGCTATTCACAGAGGCACTTCACTGAAGGCACTCTGCTATGAAAGTGCACAAGGGAGAACAGACAATGGAGGAAGCTGCTGGCTGCTAGGTGCTGCCAGTCCCTGTACACAGCAGGAGCCTGGTGCTGAGGGAGCCATCCTCAGAAGATGGGCATGGGGCCACCGCCCACATGGCAAGGGCCTGGCGAGTGAGCACACTGGAACCCGGAAGGAAAACCTTTCCCCTTCCAGTGTGTCTCCAGAACCTTTACTGACAAGGTTTAACATCCTGCCAGTGGGCAAAGGGAAAAAAAAAAATCTAAAGTGTGCAGATCAGGGCACCTGGGTGGCTCAGTCAGTTAAGCAGTTAAGTGTCCGCCTTTGGCCCAGGTCATGATCCCAGGGTCCTGGGATTGAGTCCCGATGGGGCTCCCTGCTCAGCAGGTCTGCTTCTCCTTCTCTCTCTGTAGCTCCCCTGGCTTGTGCTCACTCTCTCTCTGTCAAAATCTTTTAAAAAATTAAAGGGTCCGGATCTATTTTCATAGAGCAAACAAAAAGGATGAATTGGGGCACCTGGGTGGCTCAGTCGTTAAGCATCTGCCTTCGGCTCAGGTCAAGATCCCGGGGTCCTGGGATGGAGCCCTGAATCGCATTGGGCTCCCTGCTTGGCGGGAAGCCTGCTTCTCCCTCTCCCACTCCCCCTGCTGGTGTTCCCTCTCTCGCTGTGTCTCGGTCAAATAAAATCTTTAAAAAAAAAGGAATTGGAGGTGAGACAATAAATCAGTAATGAGCATACTCTCAAAAAGGTTTCATGTATTAAGACTATAGTTTTCCTCAACCAGGGGTTCCCCCAACCAAGCAGAGGAGGGGTACTAAAAGTATACCTTGAGATTAAGGGGCAGTAAATCTAGGATGAAGCCTAGAAATCCGGGTTGTTAATAAGCTGTCCAAACAGTTCTGTTGATGAGAGCTCTCTGAAACTACTAACTCAGACTGGGCCCCTCTGGCAGACTCCTTGGATATTCCAAGAAGAGTGTGCGTCCGTCCCCCCACCCCCGCCCCATGCTCCTGTGTATGTAGAGGTGTGTGTGTGTGTGTGTGTGTGTGTGTGTGGCTGCAATTCCCAGTCCTGGCAAGCCTATTTCTCTGTTAGTGTCCTAGAGCACCTCTGCCTTCACCTGTCTTCACCCATGGCTGTGGATCTCACATCCTCGTCGCTTCATTTCTCCACCTCTTTGTGTCTGCCTCTCAAGCCCACTCTTGTCTTCCCACTTTAGTACTTGCTGTTCCCTCTGCCTCCCTCCTTCCCAAATAGCTCCTCTTCATTATATGAACGTGTACTCTCCAGCCTTGACTCAGACTACCTCCTCCCGAAACCTCCGCATTCGGAACCCCTCTCCCGCCCCCAACACACTCCAGTCTGAGCTAGAGATCCTCTCTCAGCTCCCATGATACAGCCCGTCTAACACTGCGTTTTCACCGCCTGCTCCCTTGGCTCCCGACTGGGCCATGTCCTTTTCGCTAGTGCGTCTTGGATACCTAGCACCGTGCCGGCTCACGGCTGGGACTCACTTACACCAGTAAATGTGATTGTCCCTTTAGGGAGGGGCGGAGTCTGTCGTCTTCACTGCGGGGACCTTGCATTCCCAGCCCCTAATACAGGCCTGACTCGAAGCAGGTGGCCGAAAAATGACCAGGAGGCGTTGCAGGCTGGCCCAGCCGGCTGCGGGCGAGCGGGGGTCTCCGGCCCCGCCCACCGGAAGGAGGCGGGACGGCCAACGGCGGCGGTCGGGCGGCTCTCCGCCCGCCGGGCCAGGGGGCAGGGCCTAACTGCCGGCGGGCCGGGTGGGGGCGAGGCCTGGCGGGAGGGGCGGCCCTTCCCGGCACGCAGCCCCGGAAGCACGGCCGCGCGAGCTCTCCGAGCCGGCAGAAGCGTCGCTCCCGCAGCCGCCGCCGCCGCCGCCGCCACCACATCCACAGTCATGCCGGTGAGTGCCTGCTCGCTCCCGCCCCGGGCAGACCCGGGTCCCCGGCTTGTGCCTCGGCTGCACCGCCGGTCGGCCACACGTCACTGCAAGGGCTCAGGCCGCCGCCGGAGCTTTTGCCTCTCTTCTTACTCCTTCCCTCCCCATCTACTTCCAGCTTCTGCGACCCTCCAGAAAATCCGATCCGAAAGGGGTTTTATGTAGGAGTCAGGCCTCAGAACATCGGAGCTGCAAGGCCTCCAGGTGTTACAAGCCCAACCCTTCCCTGCATAGACGGGGAAACTGAGACCCAGGGAGGGGGCAGAGTCGCCGAGATCACCCAGGAAGCGGGTGGCGAGCTGGAACTGGGACGTCTAGTCCCTGTGCCTTCCCCCTGTTTGCCCCTGTCTGCGGAGCTGGCTTGAAGGGGGAGTGGGGGAGGGGGTGGGGTGGCTCTTGCCTCCTGGGCGGGGCAGGTTTTCAGAGATCCGCGGTTTTCTTTCCTACCACCTGCCCACTCACCCATTTTCAGTTCAGCCCTGGGCGACACTGACTGGAGACAGCAGTGCTTTTAACCTTTCCTACCGATCACTTTCTGAACCTGAACCCATGAGCCCATGAGAGGTTAAGGGACCTGCTCAAAAAATTGCCAGTTGAGGGACGTCTGGGTGGCTCAGTTGGTTAAGCGGCTGCCTTCCGCCTGGGTCATGATCCCAGGATCCTGGGATCGAGTCCCACATCGGGCTCCTTGCTCAGCAGAGAGCCTGCTTCTCCCTCTCTCTCCCTCTGCTTGTGCTCTCTCTGTCAAATAAATAAAATCTTAAAAAAAAAAAAAATTGCCAGTTGCTCAAAGACAAGGTTTGGGGAGGAATGAGCAGGTCTTAGGGGCCTTTGCCATTCACTCAGTCTTAATGCACATACGTGGTTGCTCAGGGTCTCATTCTGTAGATAAGAAATTAAGGACTTTGGCAGATAAAAAGAGAAAAAGCCCAGTAACTTACTGGAGGTCTCCTTTAGGCGTTGGGTGGAGCCAGGATTGAGCCCCTTATCTTCAGGCTCCCAGTCTCTCCTGGCCTGACCACTTGGGAAATAAATGCCAGACAAAAGTAGTTATACCGGATTGAGAGTAAGCTGTGATGCCAAGCACGTCCTGTAGAGCCTGGTTGGGGTCATGTGGTGGTTAGCAGTTTCCCCCAGGGTGCCTGGTTTATGGCTCTGCTTCAAGTGGATACCCAGAGGTGTCCCACAGATGCCCTGTGTCTTAGCAGCCTAGCTTTGGGGAGCTGGCAGGTAAGCCAGAGGCCCCCTGGGCCAAGTCACAAACATCTCAGGTGTCATTTCCATTGGGTCTTGCCAGGTGCCTTGAGACAAATCCTCAGCACAAAGTATGGACAAAGAACCTGACGTTATCAGCCCTCCTACTTGAGCAAATCTGCCTGTGGCAATGTTAACAGGACAGCATTAATCACCCTGGGACTAGGATAGTCAAGGTCACTAGGTTTTTGTGAGGGTGGCAGTGAAGGAAAGACCAGTTTGAGGATCACTCTATACTCTGTTCACTTCTGGAGATTTTGACAGACAAAAGACCCTCCAGAGCAGATGGTCAGAATGAAGAGGGCACTTGGCACCACATCACAAGATGAGAAGCTGAAGAGAGGAGGGTATTAGTCAAGGGGCTGTGGTCAAAACTGGTCAGCATGTCACCTGAGAGGTTTCTCAGACAAAAACTTGGAATCTCAGAAGCCTCTTTGAAAAACTCTGTGCCCTTGCTTGTCAACTGCGTGACCTTGGGCAAGCCGCTTTACCTCTGCCTTTATTTCCTCATCTGTAAAATGGGGATAAAATCTGATATCAGGGGACTATTGTTAGTATTACCTGGAAAAACGCCAGTAAAATACTGGCATAGCCAGTCCCCAAGAAATGGTAGCTCTTGTGTCAACCTAGGACAAGTGGGGTAGAACTAGAGGCAGGCGAGTGTTAACCCCATTTTAAGAAGGACCACAGTGGTTAGAAGTTTAGGCTTTGAAGATATTTTCAGTCTGGGCTCTGTTCCTCACTAGCTGTGTCACCCTGAGTGACCGACCTAACCTCTGAATCTCAGCTCCCTTGTCTGTCAGGAAAGGATAATAATGGCCATCTCATGGGGACCTTGTGATGTTTAAACAGGGTAATGTGTGCAAAGTTAGAACAATGCCTGGCATGTAGTCCTATTCAAATATTAGTATTCATAAACAAATCGACGTTGTGTTCAAAGACTAAATATCCTGGATATTTGAGAAAGACTTCCTTCTCTGGGAGGGGGCTGGACAAGGTGACTCCACTGCATTTCTGCCCTTCCAGTTCTGAGATTCTGTTAAAGAATTTTACAGTTTACTGGACTTTTTCATTGCTGTAAAGGACCTTAGAGGTGACAGGCCTGTCTGAGGGGCTGAGGCAATAGGGGGCTGGCCTTGGGATTCTCTGTAAAGAATGGATTACTCTGTCCTTTAAGTAGATTTTCTACCACCCCCGAATGGACTTGTGCAAGTCCGAGTAGAGGGAAAGAGCACCGACTTGTAACGTTGGCCACCCAGAAGCCGCCTCCTGGCTTCTGACCTCTGTACTGTGGAGGATGAAAGGGGACCCGTGCTCTGTAGGTAGCAGCAGAAAGCTTCACTTCTGTTGACTTGAGGTTCTTGGGCAGCATACACTTGTTCCTCTTCATGAGCTGTCCCACTCCCAGAGCTCCTGCTGAGAGTCAGGGTCACAGGATGGCACCTGGCAGCACTGTTGGCAGCTCCTCACTAGCAAAACGTCCCTGGAGCCAGGAAGGCCTGGGTTCGCATCCCAGCCACGGCACAGACTCGCCCCATGACTGTGGGCAGCTCCGTGAACCCCTGGGAGCGTCAGTTTCCTCTGGAGTAAAATAGGGTCTCTAGCTCCCTTCCCAAGCCCAGTGAGAACTGAGATTCTGTGTACCGAGCATTTGGCGCACAGGGGCACTCAGTAGACTTAGGTCTTATATCGGTCTTGCAGACCCTTTAAGACTTTGGGTGGGGATCCAGGTGCAAACCATCGACAAATCTGGATTGTCTGTTGGTTATTCTAGAGCAGGAGTCGGCACACTTTTTCTTAAAGGCCAGGTGAATGCTTGAAATGCTTTAGGCTTCACGAACCATCTGCTGCCTTTACAACTACTCAACTCTGCCATTCCAGTGTGAAAGTAAGCCAACAGGCTTAGCAGTGTTCCAGTAAAACTTCATAAAACCAACTCAGAGTCCGGCTGTAGTTTGCCAGTTCACATTCTAGAACAGCATCTCAAACTGTAATGTGGGCAGGAATAAACTGGGTGTCTTGGAGTTGTTTTTTCAGTTTTTATTTTTAAGCAATCTCTCCACCCAACCTGGGGCTCGAACTCACGACCCCAAGATAAAGAGTTGCACGCTTCTCAGACTGAGCCCTCCAGGGTTTCTTGTTAAAACGAGGATTCTGATTCAGGAGGCCTGGGGTGGGACCTAAGATTTTGCATTTTGCAAGCTCCCAGGTCACACTGATACTATTGGTCTGAGGACCACACCTTAAAGACAAGATTTTGGAATACTTGCTACAAATCCTGTTTTCCAGAATTTGTTATGGTTGTTGTTAAGTAGTCATACAAGCTAAAGGAATCAGAGGTGTTTAACTAGAAGAAAAGAAAAACTAACCATTTTCTTTAAGGCAGGTTTTGCAGATTTGGTCTCAGTAAAATAGTGGAAAACCAAACTCTTAACTCTTGGTCTTAGTTTCCCCTGGACGGCATGATGATTGAAGCCAAACCCAAACATGTTCTGAGACTTGGAAAGAGCTTGAGAAGCCATTAGTCCAATTTTTCTAGGTGTGTGGCCTTGCCTCCCTGTGTCTCCCCAATGGGTTAAAAATGGAGAGAGTCCCAGGGCCCAGCCCAGAGCCTCAGAGCTGATAGAGGTAATTGCTTGCAGAGTTGCATGTCCTCAAGTCCCCAAGTGATTCTTCTGTGCACTGAGCTTGAGGAAACTTGAGTTAGCTAATACCTTTTTGGTAAGGTAAGGTGACTGGGGCCCTTAAGGTGCAGGGATTTTTTTTTTTTTTTTTAAAGGCACAGGGATTTTTGCCTGAGGTCTTCCAGCGAGAAACATTGATATGTCCAGAATTCCAACTGAGGTAACAAATTTGAAATATTTTGGAATGCTTGGGTGCCTGGGTGGCTCAGTCAGTTAAGCATCTGCCTGCCCCTGCTCAGCGGGGAGTCTGCTTCTCCTTCTCCCTCTGCCCCTGCGCCCACTCAGCTCACGAACTCTCTCCCTCTCTCTCTCTCTCAAATAAATAAAATCTTAAAAAAAAAAATACTTTGGAATGCTCCATGAAACATGTAGCCATTGTTTTTTGAAGTGAAGGAAAAGAGAGCTGTGGAACAAACTAATAATAATGCAACAACTAATTTTTCACCCAGTGGAGACTATTAGTAGGTTCCAACCTCTTTTTTTTTTTTTTTAAAGATTTTATTTATTTATTTGACAGAGAGAGAGAGCGAGAGGGGGAACACAAGCAGGGGGAGTGGGAGAGGGAGAAGCAGGCTTCCCGCTGAGCAGGGAGCCCGATGCGGGGCTTGATCCCAGGACCCTGGGATCATGACCTGAGCTGAAGGCAGACGCTTAACGACTGAGCCACCCAGGCGCCCCAGGTTCCAACCTCTTAATGTTTTAGTTACCTTCTGCTCCTGGGGAATGACCCCAAATCTCGGTGGTTGAAAAGGGTAAACGTTTATTAATTCTTAGTTTCTGAGAGTCGGGAATCTGGGAGTAGCTCTGCGGGGTGTCCCAGGCACGGGGTCTCTGATGAAGATGCATGAAGATGTCTGCCGGGCTGTAGTCATCTGAAGGAGTGTCTGCTTCCACAATGGCTCCCTCACATAGCTGTTGGCTGGACACTCAGTTGCTCACCGTGAGCACCTCTCCATAGGGTTGCTTGAGGGTCTTTAAGACGTCTCAGCCAGCTTCCTCCAGAGAGAGAGCAAGGAAGAAGCCCCGGTGTCTTTCAGGACCTGGCCTCAGAAGTCACATAACATCACTTCAGCCATATTCTGCCAGACACACACCAACCCTGAGACATTGTGGAAGGGGACTTCTCAAGGGCATAAATACTCAGGAGGTGGAGGTCACTGGAGCCATCTTGCAGGCTGGCTCCCACACTTAAAATGATTGTCACATTCACTAACCTGGAGAAGGGACTCTCATACCCATTTTTCAGATGTAGAAACCAGGGCAAGAAGAGTTAAATAACTTACTCGTGGTGGTACAGCTTGTAAGTGCCAGAGCTGGGGACTGAGGCTGGGCTTATTTCCAGAGATTTTAAAATAGAAGATGTATTGGTATAGTAAATTTTGTCTGAAAGCAAAGGAAGGACCCAGAGGTCCTCAACCAGCTGTGTCAATCATCTGCTCACTCAATAAAATGTAGTAAGCACCTACTGTGTGCCAGGCACTGTTCAAGGATCGGGTCGCAGCAGTGAACTGAACAAAGCTTGCCTTCAGGCCCTTGGAGACTATAGGATGTTGAGCCCATATGAAGAGTCGAGGAGTCTGGGTCCCCTTACTGGCCCAGCCTCCGACCCACTGGGAGCCCAGGCAAACCCCTTCCTGGGACTCAGGTGCTGCCTTGGACCGTGAGGCACGTGGGTGAGCACAGTGATCTCCGTGTATCAGAATACCAGAGACGCTTATTAGCCACGATAGACGCCCCAGCCCACGCTCGTTGATCAGAATAGTTTTCGCAAGTTCTTGGGTGATTCTAATGCAGATGATGATCTTCTGCTGTATAAATAAGACCACCAGATCAGCATTGCTCAGAGGCCATGGGCCCACCTATGTCAGAGCTGTCGGTGGTCTCAAGAACCAAGATTTTGAAGGTAAGACTTTAAACTAGCTTCCCAGGTGATTCTACTCATCGTGTGCTAGACACTGCTGAAGGATTTGTAGGGATTATCTCATTCAATACAACAGCCTGTGAGATGGAGGAACCCTTTCTTAATTCCACTTTACACTCTAATAGAGTGGGACTCAGAAACAGGCTGCTGGTAAGTCTGATGACAGCCAGCCTGGCCCTGTCTCTCTGCGCTCTGTCTTGGCCCCTGGGTGGGCCTGCATGCTGGTGGGGGGTGTGGGTTGTGCCTCAGGACTGGCTCACGGTCCCCTTTGTTTTAGAAGCACGAGTTCTCCGTGGACATGACCTGTGAAGGCTGCTCAAATGCCGTCAGCCGGGTGCTCAACAAGCTGGGAGGTGAGTGAGTGGCCCGCAGGTAGGGGTGAGGTGGGGGAGGCCGGTGCCCTTAAATTGCGTGCAAATGCATGCAGCCACGGAGCCAGAGAGGCTTGAGTTGAAGCCGATAATAACAGGATGACTAAAATGTATTGAGTACTTACTTAGCATGTGCCCAGTACTCTGCTTGGTGGCTTCCTGTGGACCGCATCATCTGTTCCTCACCAGAGCCATTTCGGTGGCTCCTTAGACTGTCTCCATTGTAAGCAGGAGGAACTGAAGTTCAGAGAAGTTGAGCGACTTCACTGAGATCTCAGAGTAAAAGTGACAGAGCTGGGATTTGGCTACATAGTCCAGCTCACGGTCTTGGCAGCACTAGTTAACATGTTGGTGATCTTCGGTGTGATCATTTTGCAGATGATACCTTGGAGTGTCATTTTCTATTAACATTTAGAAAATTGTAATATTTTTTAAAAATGGACTTTGACTGGGGCGCCTGGGTGGCTCAGATGGTTAAGCGTCTGCCTTCGGCTCAGGTCATGATCTCAGGGTCCTGGGATCGAGTCCCGCATCAGGCTCCCTGCTCCTTGGGAGCCTGCTTCTCCCTCTGCCTTTCTCTCTCGCTCTGTCTCTCATGAATAAAAAAAAAAAAAAAAAAAAAAAGGACTTTGACTCAAGTCACATGCAGAAGTCCTAAAGCGCCTCTTCTGGACATATTTAGAAAACCGTTATTCTCATCCAGCCCCCTTGGTTCTCAGCTGGGGAAACTGAGGCCCAAAGAGGGCTGGGGTCTGGCCCTGGGGCTCCATGAGGTAATGACTGAGCTGTGCTCAGAGTTCTGGTAGTGCTGGGCAGTCCGTCTTCTAAGATTTCTCACGTTTAAACCCAAATAATACCCAGATTTCAAGGGGCTTCCATGTGGATGTGATCCCATTAGCACTTGGAGCGTTCCTCTGAGCTGCTGGCCTTTCCGTCTGTGGAATGGGGATGTTGACAGCAGAGCCCGGGAGGGGAAGGCACTTGCCCAAAGTGAGTCAACGGCTGGTTTCTAGTCCTGGAAACTGGAATCCTAATTTGAAAGAATCTGAAGCAGGAGGAAAAACCTGGCTGCTGACTTGCCATGTGACTGGGGCCACCCTAGCTGCATGTCGGCGTGTCAGCCTCTGTCCGCTTCTGCTGTGGATCCCGTAAGAGTGAAACTCTGCTCGAAAGCCCCTCCAGTATGATGTGGCACGTTCCAGATGAAGTGAGGGGTGAGGGCGGGCCTGCCTGCACTCTTGACGGCTTGAAGACACCCGGCCAGGAATCTGGGCTGCAAGGAGCACCTTTGAAACCCACTGGGTTGGATGATACCAGAGTTTCTTCCAGCGCGATGGTGCCACCAAAATACTTGTTCCAAAGAGAAGGGAGACACTTCTGAACCAAAACACAAAGATCCAGTATGCAGCAAGGACACGGTACATTTTTTTCTCCCTCAGTATCCGTTCGGTACAAATTGCAGACATTATGACTAAATCCTGTGCCCTGGGCTTTTAAGGCTGTTTGATGTTTGGGGATCTCCCTTTGAATTTGGATGGGTTTCTCCCCATCTTTGACTACTATCCCCACTTGGGTGGCCTCTTGAGGTCAGAAGGATTAGTTGGAGCCTTAGATGAGCAGTGCTGGGCCTGAGGAATCACAGCTAATGGCATATGGGAACTGGAGAGACCATAGGGGCTGGCCACCCTGAATTCCTTCATGTGCAGCTGGGGAAACAGGCCTAGAAGGGGCAGGACCCACCTGTAGTCATCCAACAAGTCAGTGGTGAAGCCAGGCCTAGAACCTATCAAGGGCTTTCCCTCTGCATTCCATTTTCTCAACAAGACACATTCTAGGTATTCCCATGGACTGCTCTTCGGGGAAGGGAGGGTGGCTTGAAATTGACACAGCCCCTTAGGAGGGTGGTTTTACAATATCAACATTTAAAATGTGCCAGTCCGTTGCGCCCCCGTTTCCATTCTGTAAATTCATGGTATAGAAATATTTTCACAAGTTTTATATGTTCAGGTATGTTCACTGTAGCGTTGCAGCAGGGCACTGAGTGGATGTACGGGGTGTCCACACTGCGGAATGCAGTGTAGCTGTTAAAAAGAGGATGATGGGGGCGCCTGGGTGGCTCAGTCGGTTAAGCGTCTGCCTTCGGCTCAGGTCATGATCCCAGGGTCCTGGGATCGAGTCCCACATCGGGCTCCCTGCTCAGCGGGAGCCTGCTTCTCTCTCTCCTCCCTGCTCATGCTCTCTTCTCATTATCTCTGTCTCTCTCTCAAATAAATAAATAAAATCTTTAAAAAAAAAAAAAAAAGAGGATGATGTAAGTCTGTATATACTGAGATGGCAAGATCCCCTGGACACTGGAAAGTGAAATATAGCAAGACCTGTTTATAGAGTACAATGCCATTTGGGGGAATTACTTTTCACTTGTCTGTCTGGGAGAAAGACTGGGTAGATGCCATGCTGTTTGTAGTGACTTCTGGAGGCCTTCCACTTTCTAGTTTTATTCAGAAATGTTTGCTTTTTTTTTTTTTTTCAGTGGTGTGTCTGTGTTAATTACTTTTGAAATTAAAAAGAAGAAAAAATTTAAAAGCCCGAGCCTCAAGCAGGGATTGGCAAACTATCGTCTGTGGGCCAAATCTAGCCCACAATCTGTTTTTGTACAGCTGAGAATGGTTTTTCATTTTTAAAGGGGCGTAAAAGCAATACACAGAGAGAGAAGATGATGCAGCTGAGTCCATGTGGCCCCTGATGCCTAAAACGTGACTCTGGCCCTTTATAGGAAGAGTTTGCTGATCCCTGGCATGGAGGAAAGGGGAAGGTGGTTGTGAATAAGAATTCTAGAGCCTGAACTCTCTGGCTCTGATTGGGAGGGTCTCTGATTCCCCCCTACACACCTCACTTCCTTTTCCTGCAGGAGTTGAGTTTGACATTGACCTGCCCAACAAGAAGGTTTGCATCAACTCTGAGCACAGCGTGGACATTCTGCTGGAGACCCTGGAGAAAACAGGAAAGGCTGTTTCCTACCTCGGCCCCAAGTAGCGAGGGCCTGGACCCCTGGGCCCAAGATGGACCAAAGGGAGCAGGTGGGTAAAGCCCCAGCCCTTGTACAAAATATGTCATTATCTAATGCAAATCCCACGTTCTGGGAATCCTTACAGCCCCCTGAGAGTACACAGAGCACTGTGTTACGTCTCCCAGGGTCCCTTTTATGACTTGGGGAGTGCATCTCGTGATCAGCAGGGGTTAAGTATAGAGCGTAGAGCTTGAGCAATGCTTTGATAAACTGTCCCATCCAAGAGGACCCTATGCCCTGGGCATCATGCTCCTGTGCCCTGACCAGGTAAGTTAATTCAACTTGGCCTCTCTCCCCACCCGGAACTGGTGTCAGCTTCCTGAGCATGCCCTCTGCCCCGACTGGTACAAAAGCAATCCTCATGTCCAGGCTGGATGTCCCCTTTAAATGTCCACAATCCAGAGAGGCACGTAAGTGTGGCACTGTGCCGAACCATTCGCTGTGGAACCAGGACAGACCTCACTGACTGATCCAGCGCTCCTTCCCTCTGTACCCTGCTCCAGAATCCTTCACGGCACAGAATCCTTCCCTCCCTGGCTGTCACTGCCCTTGTCGTGCTTGAATTACAGTGACTGCCACATCCCTGCCGTGGATCAGGGCTCAGTGCCATTGAGAAACATGAGGCCTGGAGAGGGGAGGGGACTTGACCCAAGCCCCACACAGGCGAGTGGCAGAGGCAGGATGAGAGGTGTCCTGAATCAGAGTTCTTTCGTGGCCGGTGGCCTTGTCCCTGTGTGTGGGCCCACGAGAGCTCCCCAGGCAGAGGCCAGCCACAGCTGACTGGTGGGCTGTGGCTGTGTCCTGTGTAGAGGGTGACATCACATGACATCATGTCAGATGCATCTATTTTCCTCATCCCCTTTTATCCATGGACACAGCCCATGGTCAGGAATGAGCCCAGGATGAATAATGATGTCCTCATTTCACATTGTGACTTTGAATACTTCTTACATTCTGGAGACTCAGGCCTTTCATCTCTAAAATGGGGCCACAACCTCTATCCTGTTTTCCTGCCATGGGGGATGGTTACTGGGAAATCCCTCTGAAAATGAAGGATGATCCTCAAAGAGAAGATACCTTTCCACCATGCTGCGGATCAGTGTTGGTCACATGGTTCCTGAACCCCGAGGGGTTTTGGAGGAGAATGGTGGGTGGCACTCTGGGCCTCTCCATCTGTCCCTGGTTGCCCTGTTTCGTAAGGGGCCTCTGTGTCAGTTTATAAGATTGTGGTTGATAAAAGTGCTCTGACAAGACAGGATAGAAGGAGGGAAGAGCCAGAACTTCCTGAGTAGGCGAACCACATGGGGGAGCTCCAACATAGGCCTCTCCCTTTGGAGACTCCTGGCCCCAGCATATGAATCTTGTTCAACTCCTGCCAGTTGTAAACCATGGGTAACTTGATGTGTGTTCTTCTCATAGTAGTTTTTAAATTTATTGAGGTGAAGTTCACATAACATACAATTAAAGTGTACCATTTAGTGGATTTCCTGCATTCACGATGTTGTGCAGCTCTGGTTTCAAAGCTTTTATCACCCCAGAAAAACTCCCCGAACCCATTAAGCGGTCACTCTCCACTGCCCCCTCTCCCAGCCCCTGGGAGCTGCTAATCTGCATTCGGCCTCTCAATTTGCCTCCTCTGGATGGTTCATTGAAAAGGAACCATACAGGGTGCCTGGGTGGCTCAGTTGGTTAAGCAACTGCCTTCGGCTCAGGTCATGATCCTGGAGTCCTGGGATCGAGTCCCGCATCGGGCTCCCTGCTCAGCGGGGAGTCTGCTTCTCCCTCTGACCCTCCTCCCTCTCATGCTCTCTATCTCATTCTCTCTCTCAAATAAATAAAATCTTAAAAAAAATAAAATAAATAATAAAATAAAAAAAAAAGAAAAGGAACCATACAGTTTCACTTAGCATAACGTTTTCAGGATTCATCCAAGCTGTACCACAGATCAGCACTTTATTCCTTTCTGTGGCTGAGTAATTCTCATAGTTTTCAATTAATTAATTTATCTTTGCTTTTTTATTATGGAAGTTTTAAACATATAAGTAGTAAAAGGAATCCCTGTGTACCCATTACCCAGATCCACTGATAAGTCATTGCCATCATTGTTCTATTTCATCTGTGCCCATTATTTTGAAGCAAATTCTAGATAACAGCTAAGTTTATCTGGGCAAGCATGTTAGCAAGCAATGTGTAGTATGGAAAGGCTCCTGCAGACTCAGCTGGACAGCACTTGGTGATTCTCACCCGTCGAGCGAGCTTCCCCCCGCCACGTCCCGGCAGCATCTGTCTCCGTCTGTTTTAAGACACTCCCCAGTGACGGATTTGAAGCCAGGTTTGGGACTCAGAGAGAGAGTGTTTCTGGGTCGTAAAGTCACCTCGACTGTCTGTTCGTCGGCAGATTTGTTTGCTGGTGATTTTGTTCATTCTCTTCCCAGTGTGAATTGAAATAGGACAGGGAGAACCTACCATCCCAGCAGCCCCGGAGGTTCCCCAGGAGAAGGCGTTGGTGGAGATTGGCTTTGGCGAGATTAATGGGTTCCAGCCAACCCGACTATTACAGACTGGGTGGGAGGAGAGTGCAGGGCTGAATGCTGCGGTGCTCGTTCTGCTCCAGCACCTGGGTTTCCCACTTACCTCCCACAACTGCCCCTTAGTGAACCTCTGCTGCTTTTGCAATGCCTTCATGTGCACAGCAGATGGTGCTTTCCTTCCACCTAACTTCTCGTCTCTTCCAGGGCACTGATCTCCTGCCTTCCAGACAGACCAGGGGCCTGGCAGTCCTGCTCAGCGATGGCAGTGACCCTCACTTGCCCTGCTCCTCCCTAGCTTCCCTGCAATAAAGTTGAGCCGCTCTTGTTGAAGGTGTTGTCTCTTGCAGTGTCTGGATATTACTTGTTCACATGCTCTGAAGGAGTAATTACAGTGCTTACTGGGGTTGGAGTTCTAAGGGCTCCCCACTGGGAGCACCAGGCCTGACAGATTGTGATCCTTTGCTCTGTGATCTTCGGCAAGTCATTTCCCCTCTCTGCACCTCACTTTTGTCATCTACAGAGTGAAGATGTTGGGCCAGATGGGTGATCCCCTTTGTTTTCAATATTTTGAAAGACTTCTATCATCAAGTGCATTGCACTGAAGGGATGTTAAATCTTACAGCAGTTAGAAAAGTGGGTAGAGGCTTGTAGACAGACTGCCTGGGATAGAGTCCATGCTCCAGTACCTCCCAGCTGGGCCAGTTAATTTCTCGGTGTGCACAGGCTTAAAATGCAGTAATAGCATCCGCTACAAATGGTGGCCGTGTGGATTAAATGAGGTGACATGTGTAAATCACTTCAAGTGGTGCTTACCAGTTAGACAGTAAACATTCTTTATTCACTCATTTGTGTGTATTCCATTAATCATAGGTCTATAGAAATGGCAGTTAGGATTCCAGTCAGCCTAAAAATAGTGTCTCACAGAGTTCATTCAATTATGTCAAAACAAAGGGTATGTTTTACTGTGTGTAGCTCTATTTTATTAAAAACTATGTATTTCTTTAAACCAGAAGTTCTCAAACTTTTATTGTCTTAGGAACCTCTTACACTCTTAAAGATTATTATTGTGTATCTCAAAGAGCTTTTGCTTATGTAGGTTATGCCTTACTAGAAATCAGATTTTTGAAATGCAAGAATACACGAGCCCATATCCCATTAGCCGCTGGGACTAGATGAAGCCATTGCACATCTTTAGATTCTGGAAAATTTCACTGTATGATTGTAAGTGAAAGGAAAAGGCATCTCATGACAATCATTTTCCCCCCCTTTACCTTCTGAAAGGGTTTTGGGTACCCCACGTTGAGAATCGCTTTAGCCACTTATGGGGCACTGATGGGGGACCAGCGCTGCTGGGCTCAGATGCGACCCAGTTCTGAAGCTGACCCAGCTGTGACCTTAGATCCGTCCCCTCATGTCCCCAGAAGCAGTTTCCTCCTCTGCACATGGATAATGCCTGCACTTCAGGGAGCTTTGTAGCCAGAAATAAGACTTTGTTCCAACTCTAAGCTGTGTGCTAGCATAATTTTGGTCCCCTTACGAGATTATGAACTCTCAACCATCTCTGCCTTTGTGGCCCTCAGCACAGGGACGCTCCCAACCCTCCTGGTAGCTGGCTTTCTTGGCCACCAGATGGCAGTGTCCTTTGGGTTGGACCGTCAGGAGAAGTTTAAGACTGGGACTGTGGATTCGGGGAGGATGAACCTGAGGGTTTTTCCATTTTTTGGAGCCTGCCAGGAGACCTCGTTCAGGCTGGCTGGCCCATTGAGCACGCCCCAGGATTGAGGCGCCGGTGCCGCTTGGGACGAGTGGGCCTGGGAGGAGTTCTTCCCCACCCCCCGCCCCCCATCCGAGTTTCCAGCTGAGGCCCTTGGTTCTGTTCTTTGAGGCTCCAGAAGGGCCGGGAAGCTACCCCGCCTATCAGCCGCGCAGTTGGCCGCCCACAGAATGAGATCAGCCGGCAGGGTGCGGGCTTCTGTGGGGGTGGGAGTGGGGAGCCGATGTGTCCACGTACGACTCGGGGCCTCCTCCAGCGCCTGAGCCAGCCCTTGCCGCAGCCAAACCGCTCCCGGGTCCCCTAGATATTGGGCTGTGGGTCGTGCTGCCCCCCTGTAACTGGAATGTTCTCCGCCTGCCTCCGCACCACCACCCTATCTCCATGTAGAAATCCCTTTCCCTCCCTTACATACCACAGCTTCCATGAAACCTCTCCACAACTGGAAGTAATTTATTTCTTCTGGCCCTCACAGCATTGATCCCATCAGGTTCAGGGTTGGGACAAAGCTCTTTGTCCACGTGTCTTTCCTGTCCTCCAGCATCAGGCTAAGCACAGAACAGGCACCGAGCGAATATTTGCTGGCTGTGTAATAGGTACCGTTGGGAGGGTGTTTATTGTGCGTTGTGCCCTTAGTTAATGTCATTCCATCCTGTCAGGTCCCCACGAGACAGTGGACGAGGACAGACCCTGGTGCATGGTAGGTGC